TCCACAGGTATACCTGGATTGATTTTGCCATTGGTGGGCTTCATTTGGTCACTAATGAAATCTTTACTGTTGGAAACAACAAATGCAATTATTTCTAGAGGAAACAGTAGGAGCTGGGGAAGAGGCTGTCTGGTCTGCAGCAGGGGAGATTTGACCCCAGCCAACTCTGCAAATGACCCAAGTAGGTCACTGAAAACAAGTCATCTCTTTGTTCCCTCTTCTCCAGCAGGCAGAGAGGGGCTAATATGTTTTCATCTGAGTTAAGGAGCATGTAGGCACTGGAGCACAAGGCTTCACTTGTCCCACCATCCGGAGTCAGGACACGGGATGGGCCGTAATGATGGGAGTTACACAAGACAGTGCTCCCAACCCACAGAGCTCCAGACCACAGCTGGAAATCATATTCGGGAGGCTCCTTAGTTTTTGGAAAACCAAGGAAAAAATGAGTTCCCTTTATTCGCCTGAAGTCTGTTCAATGTAATATCTGGAAACTGCTATGAATCTCCAGAACTCCTCACTGCCTTCTTAGAAACAGAGAAGGAACTCTGTGGAAATATTCTCTATGAAAATCTCACAGTGCAGTAGAATTAAATTAGTGACCAAAGATGAAAGCCCAGAAGGTCATCTGCTCCCATGCCGCAGTGAACGTGTCTCCAAATTCATTCCTTAAGCTCACCCCAGAGTCTCCAATGCTGGCCTCTTGGAACAAAGGCGCACCATGTGGTCAAGAGCGCCTTCCACAAGCCACAAGTGTCCTACAGGCACATCCTAGATTCCAGCCTCGCACTCCTCCCATTAAGTTGTAAACTTATTTTATTGGCTGAATAAATGTTAATGCCTTTATATGTTAATGGGTAAAGCTCTGAAAAGCACCGAAGTATTACAGCACTGCAGCCTTTGAGGATGAAACATGGCATAACTTGGAAATCTGTCTGTTACAAACATACGCCGTCCACGAGGCCCGCCAGCCCTTGTTGCTCATCTGCACAGAACTCGGTTCATTCCGTTAAGAGAATCTTGCCCTTGCACACAGATTTATTAGGTCCCAGGATCCGAATTTTCTGGGTAAGTATAATTATACTTTATACACAATGTATTATTAAAATGACTTGAAAACAGTCACCTCAGCACAAATAGAGGGGAGAGGAAGAAGTAAAGATGAGGCTGTAAAACCCGTGCGAGATTAAGTGCACCAAGACATGACGTAGCACTTCTGCATCATGAACATTTGGAAACGGAAAACCTCCCTTTCAGGGCAAAATGCCTGGGTGGTTTCATTAATGAGCCAGGGAGACTTCTGCATTTAGTGAGACCACCCAGAGAGATGAGAGAGAGAAAGAGAGTGAGGGGGAGAGAGAACTGGTGCCAGACATCGTTAAGGTCTCAGCTCTACCACTGACAAGCCCTGTGACTTTGGGTGACCTGACTTGAACATCTCACCTCAGTTTCTTCACCTGTAAAATGGGGATGTCAAAGGTGCCTACCTGGTGGAGCAGCTGTGATGGTCAAGAGAGGACCTTGGGCTGCCTACTTAATGAGCGCTCGGTGAATGCTCTTCCAACACCTGGGGACACATTGCTGTTGACAAGGGGGCTGAATGGAAGCTACTGGCCTTTTCTCTGGGGAGCTGTTGTCTCTAGTGGATTCTGTCTCCTCCACTCTGCAGAGACGGCACTCAAAGGGGCCACCAAGCATGTTCTACCCGCTAGATGGTTTCAGGTCCTCATCTTTCCTGTCCACAGTGTCCTAACGCTGTGGAGCTTGCAACTCTCTGCCCTTGGGTCCCATGACTTCACCATGGCAATATTCATGAAGCACCTCAGATCACTGCCTCCCCCTTCTGTTGACCCCGGGGGATCCTCCTGTGCTTGGCCTTTAAACATGAGAATTTAAGCTCTCACGATTTCTTGGTCTCTAGTCTCTCTCCAGGAAAATGTTGCCATTTCTATGGGCTAATTGCCAATGATATGCTAATCAACTTAATGAGCTGCTAATTAATATGCAAAATGTTGGCCTGCATCTCAGAATTCTGCTGCATTCCTGCACATGCACCTCTGCTCTCCAAGCTTACTTGGGTTCTCCAAAGCACCTCCAATCAGCATGTCCAAAAATGAACTCATGGTTTCCTCTTGTTTCCCCCAAAACGCTCCCCCTGTCTGCGGGGGGAACCTCCTCTGGAGTCCTGAAGAGCCTTGCTTCTTCTCCTAACCCCTCCCTCCATTCTCCATGGCACTTAAATTGCCAACGTCACCAGGTCACTCTGCACGAATGCTCCACCGCTCCCTTTCTTACAGGATCTTGAATATGACCTGACCGAGGAGGCCAGTGCCCTCGGGCTTCCACCACTCTCGCTGGACTTCACCCTCCTTCTGAGCAGCCACTCTGGCCTTCCCTGTCCTGTCAGGGCCCTGATGAGTCCTTCCATTTCCCCACCTGGAGTCCTCACCTACTTCCTATTTACCCTCAAGCACCAATTCAAATGCCACCTCCTCAGGGAAGTCCTCTGTCCCCTCAAAGAAGGTCACAGTTAAAGTTACAGGTTCATTTAAAGAGGAATCTTTAAAAAGCAAGCGCCGACCTCTCTCAGAAGACTGTCCAAGAGGGCGAGGGTACATGCCCATTTGGCCCCCATGTGAAGAGGCAGGAGCTCCCCGACTGTCATCATTTCAAGGCATTTTTCATGACCCGCCTCTTCTTCCACAATAAGACAGCACCATCGCTCCAACATGGTGGCTACAAATAGCAAGTCCTCCAGGTGACCTTGACCACAATAGGTTTGCCTGGCTGGTCACAAGGGCAGAAGAAGTGATAAGGACACTTGGCCTCTACAAAGACCATCCATGCAAACTTGGCTCTGAAAAGATCACATCTATGATTGGCAGCACACGAAACCAGCAAGCCACCTCGATGACGTTTATCATTTTCCATTAGAGAATCATGCCACTCACCCTCTTATTGATTTATTTGTTCATTCAGCAAAATTGGGAATTCTAAATTCCAGACTTTAAGGTCACCGTCTGGGAGGAAGGCTGGCATGGGACAGACTCACAATAAATGTGACAGGTCCTCACTGAGGAGCCCTGTGTGAAAGAGTCCTTAGGGGGAGAGGGGAAGATGACCTTGGAGGATGACTGATGTGGGGGGAGGCAGACAAGAGGCAGAAAGACATTCCAGGGGCCACCAGGAACACTGTCTGGCTCCCTGAGGAGCTCCCAGTGCTAAAGACCCCTGCTGTCAGAGGGAGAGAGTAAGGGCTCTCTCTTTACTGCTGCCCGGGCCAGGTCACCTGTTCCTTCAAGTCTCTGCTCCCTCCTGTGCTGGAGCGATCCTTGCAGGTTCTGGGAAGAGCAGAGCTCAGACAACTTGCTGTCTTCTAGCACATTCCCTCTCCCATGCCCCCCTCCACAGACTCCTCCATCTCCCCTATGGACACAAATCCACTGCCTGAGAGCCCAAATTCTCTGCCTCACGCCCAACTGGGGGACGGCTGAGGCGGGGGTGCCACCAGTGTGGGAGGAGTCAGTGTCATGGGATGGCAGGAGCTTGGGGAGGAAGGAGGCTCTCATCAGCCCTCTTCAGGAAAAAACAAGAAAGCTTCACGGTCCTGACTGTGGCAATCTGCTTTATTTTAATTGAATTTTACTTTACCTAGACTCTCTCTCTTCAGTGTGCATATCACTCACATCTCTATGCAAACCCGAGGCCCTGCTTAGAGAAGAGAAGGGCCAAAGGACAAGTTTCTTCCATATCCTCCGAAAGGCCCAGAGGTGACACAAGGTCTAGAGAACGGAAGAGGGGACCCGTGTGTGCTGGTATTATCATCTTGCAGATTTAGACACCAAGGCCCCTCGAAGGATTATGGCTTCAAAAGGGAGATTTAGACTCTGAGCAAGGAAGCAGGGCTGTACACTAACACTTAACCTAAAACAGAACAGAAGAGAGATAACATCTACTTCAAGGCCCCAAGGGAAGCTGCCTGCTTTGACAATCGTTTTCTACATTATTTACAAATAAAAATAGAAATGATTATGAATTAAACAAATCAAATTTTCAATTAAGTCTCTTGGTCAACTTGCAAATTAAAAGATTTATTAAAGGGGAAAAATCCTTCTTTTTTATTTTTCTGTTTGTTAATGTAGAAGCTTAAGTCAAACAATTACACGGTATTACTGTAATGCACTGGCAATTCAAGGAAGAGTGTGTGGGATGTTGAAAAGTTAGGAATATAATAAAATAAAGTTGGTCCCCCCACCCCTTTACAGGGAATGGCTACTCCATCTGGTCTAATTTGTCTTGGTGCTTTGCCCAGTATAATATCAGTTTTCTGAGAACTGTAAATTATTAGGTGACTCCCTTGAAAAAATACGAGTAAAGAGGACGGTCACTTCCTGATTGTGGGCTGGGGTACTCAGGAAAACACGAACACGGCACAAGGGCCCACACCCCACCTGCCAATCTGCCTGCGAGACAGACTCATGCAGGAAACTTGGGGACCGCGGTGGTGAAAAGGAAAGGCTTGGAGTGACAGGGAAGCTAATAACATGCAGAACAACACAGAAATACATTTTCAGGCTCAGCATTACCTCGTTGTCAGGTGCTTCTGATTCTAATTAAGTTTAGAAGAAAAATAACAAGGCAACTCCTGCCTGACTGAAAAGTACAGATTATTAAAAGATGCTCTCAAAGAGTCGGGTGATAAATGGGTGCATCCAAATGTGGGTATCGCCGTATTTTTCATCTACAGACTGTTCTTTTGTCTTTGGGCCGATGGCTTTACAACAGTGTCATCTCAGCCGGTGCCACGGCTCCTAGGTGAGCTCCTAGGTTTCTAAAAGAGGTGTGCTTGTTCAATGTCTTAGGCAACTTACATAATCACCTCCAGAAAACGCAAACGTCAAGCAACATATAAACCCTGGGCTCCCTGACGCTGGGGCCACACGCCTCCTTTCTGCCTGACGTCCAGGCCCACCACATTGATAAGATTTTTAAAAGTCTCTTACCCGGATTATTTCTTCGACACAGCTGTTGCTTTCTCCAGATCGACTCTCCTGAAAGCCAAGGGAAAAAAAAAATTAAGCCTGATAGAATAGTTATGGCCACCAAGAGCAGAGAGCTTGCAAGCTTCCACATCAGTGAGGAAAAACAGATCTGTGGACCAAGGGACTCGGAGCTGGGCCTTGCTGACAGGCGTCTTTCCTCCAGGGCTGGCTTCCATTTTGGCTATGCCGTGCCCCCTCCCCAGCCTGGACATGCCTTGCAGAGGCTCAGCCCTGGGCCTTCCAGCCACACTGACTTGAAGTGAGGTGGGCTCCTGGGAGTACACAGCATGACCCACAGGTCTGAGCCCTGTCCACCTTGGGTTCCACCAAAATATGGAATCCCTAGCCATTGCTGTGTAAGTGGATCCAGTTTACCTACCAAAAGAGCCAGAGGGGGGACAGTGGCTGTGACAGATTAAGTAGAAATCTACAAGTTCCATAGACCTCAAATCCTAGATTTGGCTCCAAACCAAAAGACCCCCAAAAGACACCACCTCTGAACCTCAGCACAGCCTGCTGGTGTCATACCCTGGAGCCCCCTGTTCTCCTGTCACCACACTGCTCGGGCCCTGGTGATGCCAAGGGACTCTGAGTTGTGGTGGCTTCAGGTCACAGTTGACCCTGGAGAGTACTTTAACTGGCAGAGACACAGTTTGGCCATTTATGGTTCCATATCTCAGAGCGCAGGACGAGATTTTGTGGGGATATGAAGTTGGGGAGCGTCTGTGCCCATCTGTGGCCTTGGAGAGGTCATTCTCTCATCTTGTAATTAAAGCTGTTGACGTCAGTAAGTGTGACCTCCTAGAACGGACCATTCAGTGATCTCTTCTCCAAGTCCACTGTCCCTTCCTCCTCACAGTTCTCTCTCTACCAGGAATGTCACTGGCACCTCCCCTGGTTTTCTAGATAATTCCATCTCTGCGGTGGTTTCCTCAGAGCAGCTGGCCCTGACCCTGGGGTCCTCTCTCAGCAGCACTCACTTCCCACAACCCCAATCCAGTTACTGATTCTCCAACACCGTCCCCACCCTCGGGAATGTACCCTTCACAGATTCAGGGCCTCCACCTGGTCCTGCACCCGTGCTTCACACAGTATGGAGGAGGAAGTGAGACTTATCAGATGACTGACGGAAAAGCAAATTAATTTATTTTCTGCAGCTCGGAGGAAAGTGAGGCCTATCAGGATCAGCTCTAGGAGTTTCAAAGATGGCGGACCACACCTTCATGCTCCTCCTGCCCCTGTGCATGCCACTCCATGCTTTCTCCTAGGGGAAGATCATTCCCTTTGGAATAGTCTACCCTTCACCCCACGAAGGGGCCAGCATGTGGGAAGGTCCCACACATCACAGAAACCTCCTCCTATCAAGAATCAGCACTTTGTCCAAGTCTCCCAACTGAGGTCCAGAAAATCTACGAGACTTGGCCGAGGCCACAGCTTGGACTGACCATGGGATGGTCCTCCAGAAGTGTTTCCCAATCCCAAAGACTGGGCTTCAAACACATCCTCTCCCTTAGTATGTCTGAGCTTATCTATCAGAAGGAAGCTGCAGGCAACCACCACAAAGGTTGTGCCTTTTGGGATGACCTCTCTGGATATTTGGTGTTGAGAAAAAGTGGTCCCAACCTACCATTGAACCCACCCCCACTTCTCTTACTCCCCCTCCACGTCCCCAGTCGTTCTTGCTGTGCGACATGCTGATGGGGCAAATGCTAAACTCTCAACGTACTTTTTATGGAAAACTCTGATCTCACATTCTCCTGGTAGAATTACCCAGAAAAAATAGCATGCTAAAAAGACTCTTCCTATTAAACTTGGGCTTTGGTTCCTTAAAGCTAAGCTTCCCCCTGAAGGGGACCCTTTAATTTTATTCTATGTGGTTTATATTAGATGACAGGTTGTTTTAGGGACCCTCTCTCCCTATAACCTATGAAGTTCCACCCCCTGCTCTGATAAAGGAATGCACAGAGAAAGGAATATGGAGCAGATGATGCACTGTTAGATCCTTCTGTTGTTACAGGTGACCGTGTCTGTAGGTGTGACATTGGGTCATCTGGATGGCAGCTCCAGTCATGAGCCTCGATGGCCTGGGTATTCCCTGCTAGGAAGGCCTCTTGCTGCTTCCAGAAAGTCCTGGCCTTAAACCACAGCCTGGAGAGTCTTTGGCAACGGGCACCTTGGGTCTTCTCTGGAACATTGCACTGAGGACTCAAGAAGACTCATTGCTTTGGATTTCCAGGGCTCCATTTGTACTGGAGTGGATCCAGGGGACACCGTACTGCAGAAAGCCTGAACTGAAAGGCCCCTTGGAGCTAATCTCAGGCTGACTCAATGACTTTAGCAGAGGGAGAAGCTGGCTCAGATTAGCCCAGGGCTTTGTCCAAAGTCATTCTGGCAACAAGGGACAGTCAGGACAGAATCCACGCACATTTTTTTCAGCACTGGTTTGATGAATTTTCTCCTATGTCATGCTGTCTCCTAAAGCTCAGTTCTGAGGATTGATTCAAGCTGAGGCCACTTTTAGGCTTCAAGTGGGGAAATGAAAAAAATTCACATAGCATTTGGGTAAATTTCCTTCTCTGTCCCATGCTGCCAACTGTCCAGTTCTTAACCACTGTCTCTCAACCATCAACCTCCAATATCGCATGGTAGATCTAAGGGAGAGGAGACGGGAAGGAAAGGGTCCTAACTCCTGTCCCTTCTGAGGCACTCAAAAATAAGAGGCCAGAGTTTGTTTCCTCAGAAACTGGAGAAGAATGGAATCCCACCTCAGCATTTCCGAGTGCTCAGAGGGGTGGGTAGTAGGTTAAGGCTGGGGAAGGGGACCGAAGGGCCCCCTGCTCTCTTGAGGTCCTTCTCAGACCCAGTTTCAGCTACAGTCGCGGGCTCTGATTATATTTACATTCTGAAAACTTTGCATGCTTAGGAACAAGATTAAGACACGCACGCAATTTACATCTCCAAGTTTTGTGTTTATATTTTTCCACAATAAAATTATTGCTTCCCTTGGAAAGGTACCCACTGAGAAGAGGACTGCACAATATAAATTTTAATTACTCTGTTTTTTTTTTCTTTTTTGTTTCAGGGTTTGTAGCTGTTGTTTCACGCTGAGTTGCTGAGCAGTTGCTTGTATTTACTCCAACTCTGATGAACCCACCTCATTTTCTTATCATTACGTTTTGAAATCTGTCATAACAGTCTCACCTCATTGAACCTCTAACTAAACTTCAATTAAAAGCTAGCATCCCCGGTTCATTCCCCCTTCCTGCAGCCTTGCCTGTCGCGTGCTTTGCCCCTCATCCTACTGTTTAAATACGCACAACACACACTCTGCCAGGGAAATGGAAGGAACCAAGCTGAAGGAAAGTGGAGCTCCAGAAGCAGCCAGGAGCCACCCAACGCAGACAGCAGAAGTCCCTAATTACCATGCCAAGCACAGAGCCCTGGCAGAGCAAGGCTTAAGGAGAAAAGGCCCGATCAAATCAGTGAGAAATGGCATTTCACCACACAGGAGATGAGCTGCACACATTCTGGTTTTGAAAATAGTTTAACTCTTCATCAGATACATTTTGGGTGGAACTTTTCATCCCAAAATAATATGAAGTCTCAACGCGTGCATTTGTCTGCAAGCACTCCAAAGACCCCCGAACATTTACAAAAAAAAAAAAAAAGGCACATACCTAAATGCGCTTTTTTTAAGAACTTTTTTTTTTTAAATCATACTGTTCTTGATTTACAGAAAATTTGAGATACTAAGCAATCCCAAGTGCCATCAATGCTATGGAAGTAGGCACGGGGATCTATGTTCCAGTTCAGGGACAGTCCTGATTCCATGGGAAGACCCATCCTTGTGATTGGGTGTTCAGCCTCATCCTTGAGGACAAGGTCATCTGGGAATGACAAGGCCCACAGCCCGTGTCTCCTACATTCACCTTGTCCACACCTAACCTGACACTTCCCCGCCAAGGTCTGCACTGTGCCCTCAACCCCCAGCTGCAAGTCCAGCTCCGTGTCCAACCAGCCCCCTCACGGTGCCATCCACTCAGCCACCCATGCACAGCCGGCTCTGCCTCTGTGAGCCTACTGTTGCTACCATCATCTGGACGTTTATGCACTCTGAGAACAAAACAAGCAAAATCAACCATCAAAACAGAAAGGATGCATAAAGGCGCATGATAAAATGCCAACAAGATGACAGGAGGCAGAGGACATACTAGCGTCAACTCAAGGACAGGTCATAGCAAAAAAAAAAAAAAAAAAAATCTGCACAATGTGGAATGAAAAAAAGTAGGGCATTAATAGAGCATCAGGTTAAATATTCTAGGAAAAGGAAGAGAAATAGGATTATTACGGTTACAAATCTTCAATCCACTTCCATTTTTTGCTGATAGACAAAGGATACTACAAAGGGAAAAAATATATATGGGAGTAGAGAATTGAAGCAAAAAATTAAATAAGGCACAGTTGATATAATGATCTTAGAATGCTCCCAAGCTCTCAAGTGCGCCTGAGACAGTTGCTGAAGTGGCAGAGACTGAGGCGATCATGTCACTTAGAGCTCGGCTTCAGAAAAAGCCTAAGTGTTCCCAAGGTAGTTGTTTTATGGTCTGGACTCTTTACCCACAAATTTATCCCAACGATGAAGCTATAAATTAAATGCAGTGGAGACATAATAATCTTCCAGATTTTTTAAAAATAAAACAAAAACTACAAAGAACTTTGTTATAGAAAATAATGTTAAAACACAACAAAATAAAGAGATGCTCTAAAGATTTTCTTAGAGGAAAAATTTACACACTAAAGTCTTTCATTCTTTTTTCCAAAGGAAATTTATGAGCTAATCAATGAATTAACAATTTAAAATTAAAAGAGAAATACAATGGAAGGCTAAAGAACAAAATAGTGGAAAATATATGGAATATTTTTAGACTATAAAGTCAGTAGAATCTACAGAGCCCAAATAGAGTTTCAAAAAGACAATAGCAAAAATAAAACATGTTGCCAATAGCATT